GGGAAAGAAAGGAAAGCAAAGGACCAAAAAACATACAAAGTTGTAACACATCAAGTATAGAGCTCTAATCCACTTGATATCCTATTAAAGATACATCACTGATCTAAATGCCAAATCTAGAACACAAACAAGAAACAGCCTCATTGCATTTTTCTCTGAAACAACCACCCCATTGATCTCCCAAAACATCTGACCAGAGGAGTAAACTCTTTTCAAACTCATTGGACGAGCCCAATAACCTTTTATACTTCAAACAGAGTTACATGCTTTACTTTCAATCATCAATTGGAGTCAAAATTAATTGGAGGGCTGGATGAACCAAAATGTTCGTAAATGGTCCATGCCTTTCAACTGTGTTCACATCCACACTAAGATGACAGTTAATAATGGGGCAGAACCAAAAGCAAATCTAAATTTATAGTAACAAGAACTCAATGTGTATGCACGGGAGAGAGAGAGAGAAGAGGTTGGGGCAACAGCAAAAGGATAAGATATTGAAAATTACATTCGATAAATTTTCAGAAATGCATGCCGCAATTGATGCCCATGGCAGCAAGTGAATGTCATAATCTTTTGATGCAGTAGTAGCAAAAGAGCCAATCCTACTTGATGCTGCGGCCATGGTTTGCACCACATAAAATCTCTCGGTTTGCCTCTTAGCTTCATCACCACTTATTCTCTCACTTACAAAGTCCAACTGAAATGCATCCATTTCAGCTGTAGTATTTAAATGCTTAGACAATCTGACCAGTGCCTGTCGATGCCAAACTGTATCATCAGATACTGAACTGACAGAACATGAATGAATTTTCTTAGGTTCAGATTCTCCAACATCCCACAAATACATTTCAATGCACAGCACACTCTTAAGAAACAGAAGTGCCAAAACTCCTTCTTCGAAGAGTTGAACAAACATGGAGGAAATGTCTTCTGGTGAATATGCTTGCCTTGAGAGCTTACTTCTGACTGCCTGGTCTGCATTTCTCAAAGGAAAACGGAACAGTGTTCCAGAAAAAGGACTTTGCATGTCACAACCAAAAGCACAATATGGGGAAAACTGGTCCCTGTAAAAGGAGAGGGCAGATGAGCCAGTGAAATCAATCCGCTTCCCGGGATTTGCTGCAGAAACTCTTGGAAGATAAGCACCCTGAGGATCAAACAATACAACATATTTGCCGCTCACAAAAGAGGGAAGATCTGTCAAATGGTACACTGAGTTGAAGCCAACCCTAAAATGTATATGCAGAACAAAATGACAACAAGAATTAGAGAAATGCAAAGAACCCAAACATCAGGTTAATATGACTTTTTTTCCAAAAAAAAAAAATGATAGACGAGAAAGGGAAATTGGCACCTGGCAGCGTTGGTTACTGAACAAAATGACAATTTTGAAAGAGTAATGGTATAAAAACACTCCTATAAATCAAGCACCTCATTACCACCTATCCCGTCTCTCTATCTCTATCTTCCTATCATTCCTACACTTCTCTCTTTTTACTCTCTTTCTCTCTAGATGTGAATTACCATTTAAGTGTCCTAGGACAACTTTCCTTTTCTTTTTAAAAATGAGTGCAACCATATATATAGGTACACTAAATGACAAACACTAAAATGAAGAACATCCCCCATTCAGTTTATGAATAAAAATCATTATGGCATTCTCACACGTCAATCTCATTATCAGAGCCTTTACATTGCAGTACAGAAAGTCCAGCTTCAGTTCCGACAGTTCACTCGCACATGAAAGGGAAAAGATCAACAAAAACAAACCTTCGCACTACATTTTTACATTCTCACAAAACACATAAAATACTAAAAGCATTCATACTCTCCATAACTCTATTCATCAATCGTCAACGACCACACATCACTTATCTCACCATAATGTCCGGTTACAACTACAACAAAAAATTTAACAAACGTACTATATTTTTGAAGCTGTCACAGAGCACGCATAAGCTAGAAAAAACAATCAAAATTCACAATTATACAACTCCTTCGTCAATCATCTAGAACAAAACACATATCACTTCTCTCACCATATTTTCCAGTTAAAACTGCAACAACAAAAACTTTACACCAAAACCAGTGCACTACATTTTTTAACTTCTCACAAACACGCATAAAATACCAAAACCACTTATAAAAAAATAGAACATAACAACACAATTCCGTTGTCAACGACCACACATCACTTCTCGCTATATTCCAGCAACAACTACAATTACTTCACACCTAAATCCTTGGATTGAACCAAACATCAACACAAAACAAATAAACAACATCAATCAACATAATCACAGTTCAATTGAACAAGTTGGATAAGACCGCGGCGAAAAAAGAAAGTACCCGAAGCGACCGGTCTTGGAGGCCTGTCCATGCTTGGCGCTTCCGCCGATCTTGGAGATGCTGACGAAATCGTCCTCGGTGAAAACGGCGTTGTTGTAGGCCAGCAGAGCGGGTCCCTGCCACTGAGCAAGAGAGTTCGTGAGCAGCGAGTCGCCGCGGTGGGTGCGGCGATCGAGGCAGAGCGAGACGGTGGTGGCGCCGGCGTCGTCTGCATTCTGTACGAGCTCCTTGAGGACCGTGGTTCCCTCCGGATAGTTCAGCAGAACCTCGCGGATGCGGCGAGTGAGATCAACCGTCTGCCCGAAATCTTCTAGAAAGATCGATTCCGGAGCCATTGTTCTACGGCGCTCGATTGCGCATACGAAGACTATGGTATTCCGATGATGCGATAGGTTTTAATTTTGATTCAGTTTCATCGTCCAAGTAAAAAAATAACAGAAAGAGAAAGAGAGAATAGAAAAAGAGAAAAGGAGAGAAGAACTTTCTTTTATTCTGGTGATTTTGTTGTCAGAAGAATTTCCCGGTTGTTTTCGAGTTGTTGGGTTCTCTCTTTCAAGAGACTTGAGGGGGAGCTTTTATTTTATTGACGGTGATGTTTGCTTGCGTGTCATTACGTTTTCAACTTTTGGAACTGGTCTTCATTTCTAGACAATGACGATAGAGCTACTGGAAAATTCATGTGGTAGCACTCAGACCTAAACCTCCTTGTGTCACAACGCTTGTGACAGATNTATATACCTAGAAGGCATTGTTATAGTCTACATTGCCTGTAAAAGATTCAAGTTCTATGATCAATAAACTCCTACTTTCTAAATGAAATTTTGCATGTGATATCTTTTCATAGGTAACTTTATCACTTTGATCATATTCTTATTTACACTGGGACACCTATAAAATAAAAGCAAGTTCCAATGGACGTATCATACATCATGGAAAACATAACATATCATAATAAATTCACCATGATGGCTATTTGTTGTAAGCAATAAACTAAAAATAAATCTAGAACCACAAAAGCAATCAAGAATTTAAACAATAAACATACCACGAAGATGCAGTATCCTACAAGAACAACGGGAAAGAAAGGAAAGCAAAGGACCAAAAAACATACAAAGTTGTAACACATCAAGTATAGAGCTCTAATCCACTTGATATCCTATTAAAGATACATCACTGATCTAAATGCCAAATCTAGAACACAAACAAGAAACAGCCTCATTGCATTTTTCTCTGAAACAACCACCCCATTGATCTCCCAAAACATCTGACCAGAGGAGTAAACTCTTTTCAAACTCATTGGACGAGCCCAATAACCTTTTATACTTCAAACAGAGTTACATGCTTTACTTTCAATCATCAATTGGAGTCAAAATTAATTGGAGGGCTGGATGAACCAAAATGTTCGTAAATGGTCCATGCCTTTCAACTGTGTTCACATCCACACTAAGATGACAGTTAATAATGGGGCAGAACCAAAAGCAAATCTAAATTTATAGTAACAAGAATTCAATGTGTATGCACGGGAGAGAGAGAGAAGAGGTTGGGGCAACAGCAAAAGGATAAGATATTGAAAATTACATTCGATAAATTTTCAGAAATGCATGCCGCAATTGATGCCCATGGCAGCAAGTGAATGTCATAATCTTTTGATGCAGTAGTAGCAAAAGAGCCAATCCTACTAGATGCTGCGGCCATGGTTTGCACCACATAAAATCTCTCGGTTTGCCTCTTAGCTTCATCACCACTTATTCTCTCACTTACAAAGTCCAACTGAAATGCATCCATTTCAGCTGTAGTATTTAAATGCTTAGACAATCTGACCAGTGCCTGTCGATGCCAAACTGTATCATCAGATACTGAACTGACAGAACATGAATGAATTTTCTTAGGTTCAGATTCTCCAACATCCCACAAATACATTTCAATGCACAGCACACTCTTAAGAAACAGAAGTGCCAAAACTCCTTCTTCGAAGAGTTGAACAAACATGGAGGAAATGTCTTCTGGTGAATATGCTTGCCTTGAGAGCTTACTTCTGACTGCCTGGTCTGCATTTCTCAAAGGAAAACGGAACAGTGTTCCAGAAAAAGGACTTTGCATGTCACAACCAAAAGCACAATATGGGGAAAACTGGTCCCTGTAAAAGGAGAGGGCAGATGAGCCAGTGAAATCAATCCGCTTCCCGGGATTTGCTGCAGAAACTCTTGGAAGATAAGCACCCTGAGGATCAAACAATACAACATATTTGCCGCTCACAAAAGAGGGAAGATCTGTCAAATGGTACACTGAGTTGAAGCCAACCCTAAAATGTATATGCAGAACAAAATGACAACAAGAATTAGAGAAATGCAAAGAACCCAAACATCAGGTTAATATGACTTTTTTTCCAAAAAAAAAAATGATAGACGGAGAAAGGGAAATTGGCAACTGGCAGCGTTGGTTACTGAACAAAATGACAATTTTGAAAGAGTAATGGTATAAAAACACTCCTATAAATCAAGCACCTCATTACCACCTATCCCGTCTCTCTATCTCTATCTTCCTATCATTCCTACACTTCTCTCTTTTTACTCTCTTTCTCTCTAGATGTGAATTACCATTTAAGTGTCCTAGGACAACTCTCCTTTTCTTTTTAAAAATGAGTGCAACCATATATATAGGTACACTAAATGACAAACACTAAAATGAAGAACATCCCCCATTCAGTTTATGAATAAAAATCATTATGGCATTCTCACACGTCAATCTCATTATCAGAGCCTTTACATTGCAGTACAGAAAGTCCAGCTTCAGTTCCGACAGTTCACTCGCACATGAAAGGGAAAAGATCAACAAAAACAAACCTTCGCACTACATTTTTACATTCTCACAAAACACATAAAATACTAAAAGCATTCATACTCTCCATAACTCTATTCATCAATCGTCAACGACCACACATCACTTATCTCACCATAATGTCCGGTTACAACTACAACAAAAAATTTAACAAACGTACTATATTTTTGAAGCTGTCACAGAGCACGCATAAGCTAGAAAAAACAATCAAAATTCACAATTATACAACTCCTTCGTCAATCATCTAGAACAAAACACATATCACTTCTCTCACCATATTTTCCAGTTAAAACTGCAACAACAAAAACTTTACACCAAAACCAGTGCACTACATTTTTTAACTTCTCACAAACACGCATAAAATACCAAAACCACTTATAAAAAAATAGAACATAACAACACAATTCCGTTGTCAACGACCACACATCACTTCTCGCTATATTCCAGCAACAACTACAATTACTTCACACCTAAATCCTTGGATTGAACCAAACATCAACACAAAAACAAATAAACAACATCAATCAACATAATCCCAGTTCAATTGAACAAGTTGGATAAGACCGCGGCGAAAAAAGAAAGTACCCGAAGCGACCGGTCTTGGAGGCCTGTCCATGCTTGGCGCTTCCGCCGATCTTGGAGATGCTGACGAAATCGTCCTCGGTGAAAACGGCGTTGTTGTAGGCCAGCAGAGCGGGTCCCTGCCACTGAGCAAGAGAGTTCGTGAGCAGCGAGTCGCCGCGGTGGGTGCGGCGATCGAGGCAGAGCGAGACGGTGGTGGCGCCGGCGTCGTCTGCATTCTGTACGAGCTCCTTGAGGACCGTGGTTCCCTCCGGATAGTTCAGCAGAACCTCGCGGATGCGGCGAGTGAGATCAACCGTCTGCCCGAAATCTTCTAGAAAGATCGATTCCGGAGCCATTGTTCTACGGCGCTCGATTGCGCATACGAAGACTATGGTATTCCGATGATGCGATAGGTTTTAATTTTGATTCAGTTTCATCGTCCAAGTAAAAAGAATAACAGAAAGAGAAAGAGAGAATAGAAAAAGAGAAAAGGAGAGAAGAACTTTCTTTTATTCTGGTGATTTTGTTGTCAGAAGAATTTCGCGGTTGTTTTCGAGTAGTTGGGTTCTCTCTTTCAAGAGACTTGAGGTGGTAGCTTTTATTTTATTGACGGTGATGTTTGCTTGCGTGTCATTACGTTTTCAACTTTTGGAACTGGTCTTCATTTCTAGACAATGACGATAGAGCTACTGGAAAATTCATGTGGTAGCACTCAGACCTAAACCTCCTTGTGTCACAACGCTTGTGACAGATTTTTTTTTTTTAATTTTAATTATGTTTTATTCACTCCTTATTTTGAATTGGAATGTACATTTTTGGTGTGAGAGAAAGTCTTTTTTTTTTCCTTTTTCTTCATTTAGTGAAAATATCATATTTTTCTCATTTCCTTCTCTATGTTAAATATAATAATGAATACTTTCTTTAGGTTAAATAGTAAGGTATTTAAAAAGATTGAGAGATATTTATTTTTTTGGTTTCATAAATCTAATTCCATATATCTAGTTAAAAGGGTATTCACATTAAGATATGCATGATTTTTGTTCTATAATATTGAATTAATAAAGTCCTTGATTTTTGTTGATCAAGTTTTAGAGTTTTGGATTGTTGGAGTTGTTATTACTTATTAGTGGGAATATACCCCTCTCCTAATCAAATTTGTAGAAGGGCATGGTTATATTGGTAAATGAATATCAATTATTTTTTCTAATTACAACATTTTTCCTCAAGTTGGTAAATGAATATCAATCATTTTCAACTTGTCTACAAGATCTTGAAATCTATACGGAGGAAATCCTTTTGTAAAAAATATTTGTTATCTCAAGTTCTATAAGAAGACATATGTATTTATTAAACCTTAGACCATTCAACCTTCTAGAAACAAAATTTACCACAAGCAAATATATTTGCAAACACGAATATTTTAGTTAAAAGATGTACATTGGGTCATACATTGATGGGTATGTGTTACTAAATGTAAATTTTTATGAAGGTTTAATTAATCAACTAATTATAATTAATCAACTAACTATTTGTGATTTATGATAGAGTTCATTGTCAATTGATGGTCATCATACCAAGATAGTGTACAGTTGTATGGTTTTGTACCTTGCACAGAGGATGAAACCTGACTTGAAATATATGTTACAAATGTAAGTGTTACATTTTTTCATCTACTTAGTCATATTAATATTAACGTATGTTTCAAATTTAATTAGAGTTATGAGTAAGCTTAGAGTAATTTATGACCTGGATATGTGATTATTTTCTTTATTATGTTTAGTGTAAGAAGAAGTCATATTTAGGGATGTGGCTACTATGTCATGTCTTGAATCAAAACCATCATTTGAGAAAGAATTAGAGATTATTAGAATGAGGTAATAATATATACATTTTACATATTACAAATCACATTAATCTTTAAACATTAGTATGCAAAAATAATGAAGTTAGACTAGTGCATCAAAGAGTTACGACAACGGTTATTTTCGACATTTGATAACGATTTTCGAACTGACGTATATTCAGACACAATAAAAAAGTGGGAGCTTTGGTCTCGATTAACAACTAAAGCAAAAAACGAGTCATGATTTTGCCTCGGTTCAAAAGAACCGAACAATAAATAAAAAAATGGTTTTTGGCAGCAATTCCTAAATAAATAAAAAATAAAAATAGTCGCAAATCTTTAAACGACTATAACATTTGCTCTGATTGGCTGATTTGACAGTATTATGTATTGATTTGGGATAGAAAAAAAATTTCAATCACTGGGAGCTTGCATAGCCGGTTGTTCCTTCTAGATTTTCAAAACAGGGTGTTTACTATTTTTCATCAATTTATTTTGTTTTTTTCAAACTTTGCAAAAATATTTCACATATTTACACTTTGAATTTTGATCCAAAATTTTTGGTGAGGGTTTTTCATGATATTTTGGTGCTTTGAAAAAATTTCAAAGTCATTTAGAGTCTTTTGAATATATTCTCACTTTTAATCTATTTTTGGATGTATATGGTGTATGAACAACAAACAAAAATGAAAGTTCATCAAAGCCCAAAACGAAACTAACCATGAAGGTGGTTTCAATGCCAACATAAATCGTTACTTATGAGGAAATGTTTATGTTCCAAAGAGTACATGTACACGAAACTAATTAGTCAAAATAAAAGAAAATCATACCCATAGTAGTTAATCAATGTACATTTGTGTAAAGAAAAATTAGTCATAATGGTCGTTGAAAGCTTCGTCTTATAAGGGTTTTAGTAGAGAAGAAGAAAAAGCGCAAAGAGAAAATGAAGAAGAAATGTGCATGTGAAGGCTATGTTATTTTGCAAAATTTAACCTTGGAAACACATATTACCTCAGTTATTCTATTAATCGAACCAATAATGGCAATATGGCTTTGGTTCTACTAAGAACTGCTACTTAAAGTCTTTCGAATATATATATATATATATATAT